GCACCATGGATTCCTGGGTCCACCAGAGTAGGGAGTCCAGAATGTCCGGGAGCACTGATACTATGGAGTCCCATAGACCCTTGGACTGGCAGAAGGCCTTCGCCAACCATGCCTGAGGAGGTCTCATCCTCATCCTGGCATGTCGCACCGTGTAAGTGCATGCTGCCATATGGCCCAGGAGCCTGGAGCAGACCCGAGGAGTTGTGATGGGGGACTGGGTTAGTTCTGAAATCAGCTCCACTATGGAGAGGAACCTGCTGTGGGGCAGGAACGCTCTTGCCACCTTCGCATCGAGGAGGGCTCCCACAAACTCTATGCTCTGGGAGGGGGTCAGGGATGACTTCTCGACATTTATCATGAGCCCTAATCTTAGGAAGAGAGCTCTTATGAGTGATACGTGAGCTTCTACCTGCTCGTACGAGCGACCTTGGATTAACCAATTGTCAAGGTATGGGAACACGTGTACCCCTCGATTGTGCAGAAAGGCGGCAACCACAGCCATACATTTTGTGAATACCCTTGGTGCAGTACATAACCCAAAGGGGAGTACCGTAAACTGAAAATGGTAACGGCCCACCATAAACCGGAGGAACCTCCTGTGACCAGGCCTGATAGCCACATGGAAGTAGGCGTCCTTTAGATGGAGAGTCGCGTACCCAGTCGCCCATTTGTAGCACGGGGATGACCGAGGCTAAAGTCACCATTCTGAACTTGTGTTTTACCACCACCTTGTTTAAGTATCGAAGATCCAGGATAGGACGAACTCCCCCTTTTGGTTTTGGGACGACAAAATAACGGGAGTAGAACCCCTTACCCCGCAGATGCGGGGGAACCCTTTCTATTGCTCCTTTTTCGAGGAGTGCCCCCACTTCCTGAAATGACCGAGGCTAAAGTCGCCATTCTGAACTTGTGTTTTACCACCGCCTTGTTTAAGTATCGAAGGTCCAGGATAGGACGAACTCCCCCTTTTGGTTTTGGGATGACAAAATAACAGGAGTAGGGGGGGACCCTTTCTATTGCTCCTTTTTCGAGGAGTGCCCCCACTTCCTGAAACAGGATGTGTTCGTGAGGGGTGTCCCTTATTAGGGACAGGGTAGGGGGTTTTGAAGGCGGTGGGCCCAGGAACGGGATAGAATAGCCCGTATGTACAATGTTCAGGACCCAGGCATCTGATGTTATTCGGGCCCATGCATGGGCAAAACGGGAAAGCCGGGCCCCGAACGGGGGCCCAGGGTGGCAGACTGGTACAGGACTCTCGAACGCCATGTCAAAATTGAGGCTTGCCCTGATTGGAAGGGCCGTGGGGACCTGCCCGCTGGGAATCTGACCTGGGGCGACGATGTTGACCCCTAGGCCCTTGAGGGTGCGCAGCCGCCCAGGAACCTCCACCGGAGGCTCGGGAGTGGCGCCTCCAGAAATCCCCACGGGGGACCTGGGGCTGTGCTCTACCCTGCTGCCTATATGGCATTTGTCGCCGCTGCGTGGCTGGCGTATGTATGCCTAAGGACTTCAAAGTTGACCTAGTGTCCTTTAGGGTATGGAGCCTGGAATCTGTGTGCTCCGAGAACAAGGCCTTCCCTTCAAAGGGCAAGTCCTGTATGGTATGCTGCACGTCCGAGGGAATCCCTGAGACGTGGAGCCACGCTCCACAGTGCATAACGACACCTGTCGCCATGGTGCGGGCTGCCGAGTCCACGGTGTCCAAAGCCACTTGGAGGGCAGTTCGAGTAATGACTTTACCCTCGGAAGCCAGAGCTGCAAACTCCTGGCGGTCCTCCATCGGGAGTCGGTCTTTAAATTTTTCGACCACCTGCCAGGTGTTGAAAGTGTACCTGCTCAGCATCGCCTGTTGGTTGGCGATACGGAGCTGCAGAGCACCCATAGCGTATACCTTGTGGACCAACAAGTCCAGCTTCTTAGGTTCCCTTGCCTTCGGTGAAGGACCGGGTTGGGGAAGCCTTTCTTTTTGGGCCGCGGCTTGCACGACCAATGATCCCGGGATGGGTTGGGAGTAAAGGAATTCGTGACCCGACTGCGGGACAAAATAACACCTTTCTACCCCCTTTTGGGTAGAAGTCAGAGTTGTTGGCGTTTGCCACAGGGCATTAGTAATTTTTGAAACCATCTTGTTAAGCGGTAGAGCGAACCGCGCAGGGGTGTCCTCAGTGAGGATGTCTACCATCGGGTTGGTATCCTCAATTTTGGGCTCAACCGGAACAGCCAGGTTGGAAGCCATGCGCCGCAGGAGGTCCTGATGTGCTCTGGCATCCATTGATGGTAGCCCGGGCGCTGGGTCTGCCAGTGCCTCATCGGGGGAGGACGACGACGACGACTCCTGGACCAACAGGGGAGCCGTCGCGGTCAACTGTGGGGCCGGTTGGGCAGCCCGAGCTTCCGGAGGGGCTGTCTCTGGCACCGGTGGTTGCGGTGTCGCAGGGTCTTGTTGTGGCACTCGAAGGGGGGAGGGGTGTGCCCTAGACAGGGACGCAGAGGGACGGGAATGGTGCCCTGAAGCCTCCGACCCCATAGAAGGAGGTGGTTGTCCCTGCCACTGATGATAGGCCCAGGGAGTCCAAAAAGGCCACTGCGGGTGTGGGGGCCACACCTGCTGGTTGTGGTCCCATCGGTGCCTAGATCTGGATCTGTGCGTCGAAGAAGCTCCCGAAGACCCTGATCGCACCGATGCCGCGTCCGAGTCCGAAGAGTAGTCGGATTAAGGGGGCCGCCCTAGACAGGAACGCAGAGGGGCGGGAACGGTGCCCTGAAGCCTCTGACCCCATAGATGGTGGTGGTTGTCCCTGCCACTGATGATAGGCCCAGGGAGTCCAAAAGGGCCACTGCAGATGAGGGGGCCACATCTGCTGGTTGTGGTCCCTCCGGTGCCTGGATCTGGACCTGTGGGTTGAGGAAGCTCCCGAAGACCCTGACCGCACCGACACCGCGTCCGAATCCGAAGAGTAATCGGATTCAGGCCAAGGGGGAGCCGACGAGGAGTGTGGTGCAAACTTGGCCATTGACTCCAGCTTGCCCGTGTGGGCGCAGCGAAGACGTGCCGTCTGAGGTACTGGGGGACCCATGTCCGGTGCCGTAAGAGCCGCTGATAACTGCAGCACCGGGGGACCCAGACCCGGTGCGGTGAACTCCGCTGAACCAGTCAACTGTGGCACCAGGGTGCCCAGGCCCGGTGCAGGTTGCCCCGTCAGAAACTGCGTCACCGGGGTACCCAAGCCCGGTGCCATTTGCGACGCCATTTGCAGCACCGAGGTGCTCAGGCTCGGTGCTGGCTGCACCATTTGTGGCACCGGGGTGCCTAGGCCCAGTGCCGAGTGCGTCGCCAGTAACTGCGGCACCGAGGTGCTCAGGCTTGGTGTCGGTTGCGATGCCTGGAGTTGCGGCACCGGGGTGCCTAAGCCCGGTGCCGGGTGCGTCGCGTGCAGCTGCGGCACTGGGGTGTCCAGGTCCAGTGCTGGTTGCGCCGACTGAAGCTGCAACACCGGGGTGCTCAGGCCCGGTGCCAATTACGTGGCGAGCAGGTGCGGCACCGAGTTGCTCAGGCTTGATGCCGACTGAGTCGTGCCCGACTGAAACGGTACCGGGGTGCCCAGGCCCGGTACCAGGGTAGACCACTGGGTCGATGCCGGCATGGAGACGGACGCCGACTCCTGGGAGCCCACATGGCAATGGGGGTATGGCACCGGTACGGCCAAGCGGAGCTCTGGCAACTTGGAAAGCAACGACCTGCCAGGGCTCGAAGCTCCCTGAGAATGATGATTCGGCGTCGTGAAGGGTGCCATAGTAGTAGCGGGAACCGACCCCATTGGGGTTGGTCCCGACGCATAAGCCACCATAGCATGCCGAACCTGGCCATGCATGGGCGACGGCGGTGCCCTCCGAGCTTCCACCGGGGGCAACCTCGACCCGTCCGAGTCGACCGACGACGGAAGGGAGGTTGTAAGACTTATTAGGTCCTGCACCACTTCAAAGGTGTCTGGCGTAGACGGGAGATGAGAGGGCAGGCGACCAGGGCTCACTAGACCCCTCGGTGCCGACGGTGCACCGGAGGGGAAACACACACCGGTTAACTGCCGGTGCGGTGTCCAGCCGACGTCGGCTTCTTAGACGGAGACCTGCCCCAGGACTTCTTCACCTTCTTAGATGGTGGAGAGCGAGACCGGTGCCGGGATCTTGACGTCGATGCCCAGTGTCGGTGTGCGGCCTCGCGCATGGAGGCCGGGGCGCTGTGCACCGCAGGCTGG